ACTGAGACCAAAGTGTAGTTGGACTATTTTATAAAAACTTCCTCTTGCAATTGGAGAAAGCAAATGTAAACAGTAAGACACCCTGGGAGGTGTTCTGTGCAGAGAAAAGAAACGCAGTGTATCTATAGATATTGTATCATTAGGAATATTTGTTTTGTATGATGTCTTAAATGGGATAAACAATATTAAGCCTTAAGGAAAAAAAAGAACTTCTCCTCACTTATAGCCGGCTGCCTGCTCCCTGTTTCCCATGTTCTGCTTTTCCAGTGACATCTGTGTCCTAAGCTCACCTTTTCATGAGTACACCTGGATCATCAGGTCATTGACTCAGAACCTAATCTATTTACCCTGAGTTACCATAATCACGTTTAAAACTCGATGTCTCCAGTACAGTCACATTCTGAGTACCAAAATTAAAGTTCCAACATGTTGGTGAGGAGGAGGCACAATTCAGCCCGTAACACCATTATTGTAGGGAAACTGAAGGGAATCCATTTATATTTAAAACAAAGAGTGGCTGTCTATCAGAGGGAACAGCCAGACAAGCAGTTCAAAGCATGTATTTGAGTGGAAAATATTTTTTACAATGTATTGTGATAAAAGTTTAATGAGATGCTTCAATAAAAATATATAAAAGCTTGCTTTGTATGCAGCAAGATGGGAAAAAAAACAGGCAATTTAGGTGTCAAAAGGAGGTCAGTACCTCTTGGGAGGGGGGCATGAAAGAGAAGAACACTTTATTTGCTGATATAAGCATCTTTATCTCTGTTATCTCAATTCTGAGAAAATAAAATAATGGCATGTTTGTGCCAAATAAGTAGTATGCGCTAAATGTCTGCTGGGGGAGGATGTATGAGAAATACAGGTTCCAACAAAGATACAGTGGTGGGGGCTCTATTCTGGTAATGTCTCTAGGAATTAGAGAGGGTTCCATAGAGTGTAAATAACTGCTTATGTTTGGCTGTGGTACACATTTTTCTGGTGGCTTAAAAGGAATCCATATTAATAAGACATCTGAATATGAAGGCCAATTCATATTCCCTTCCTGAGAAAAATATTTTGGTATCTCTTTACTTTATCTAAAATACTGTCATCTTTTTAATCCTCCCTCTTAGGCAAATACCTAAAAAAAAGAGAGAGGATGTTTGTGTTACTTTTGCATCACTGTGTGTGTCACTAAGTGCCTGACAGAAACAAGAAAGGGAAGATTTGTTTGGGCTCATGGCTTCAGGGAGTTGAGTCCATCATGACAGGGAAGGCATGGCTGTGGGAGTGTGGTGCAGTAGCATGTTCACATGGTTGTGAGCTAGAACAGAGAGTACCTGACTGGAGCCAGCAGTATAACCTTCAAAGACCAACTCCCAGTGACTTGATTCTGCTATTCAGGTTGCATCTCCTAAAGGCTCCAGTCTTCACAAGAATGCTGCAAGCTGGGGACTAAGCAGCAAGCAATAAAAACCATGGGCCTATGGGGGACATTTCAGACTCAAACTATAATACATGCACACACAGAGGGGAGGGGAGTAAAAGTGTTAGCTCTGCCTCTCTAATATAAAAATACACACAAATAGTTTCTAGATCGTTACCTGGAAATCCACACATTTGCCAGGATATTTGCACCACAACTTAATTTGTTTTATAACAGTGGTTCTCAACCTTCCTAATGCTGTCACCCTTTAATACAGTACCTCACGTTGTAGTAACCCCCAACAATAAAAATTATTTTTGTTGACACTTCATGCCTATAATTTTGCCTCTCTTGTGAATAGTAATGTAAACATCTGTGCTTTCAGATGGTCTCAGGTGACCCCTGTGAAAGGGACATTTGACCCCCAAGGGGTTGCAACTCACAGGTTGAGAACCACTGTTGTAGAAGGTCGTATTCACATTAGTGTTTGCCTACCTGAGAGAATACTGTACTCAACACCATAAAACAAATGTGTTACTGTTTCTTATGGCAAAGATATAGAATTTGAAATTGTATAATTACATTTAAGTATATCACATTAAAATGCTTGTGTAGCATTCCTGGAAGGAAATTTTCACATGTTTCAAACAAACAGAACCTGTGATTGCTGCAGTGGTCTCTTTAATGTAGAACAGCTCTGTCCAACAGAACATTCATGAACAGTGGAAAATTTCTATGAGATGTGTGCTGTCTAGATTCACTATGCATTCATCAAATATTTGCTTAGATCTCCATTTGGTGCATTTAATATGTTAGACGTTGGGGGGAAAATGGCAAAAAAAAAGTGTAACCCTTTTTCTTAAGAAACAGAGGAGCTAATCAAAGCATGTGGTCCAAATGGAATGCTAGAGCACCATTTGTGAGTTGCTCAGAGACCTAACCAACCCAGCTGTGTGATGGAGGTTTGGGGAAAGCATGCTTCACTCTACACTCAAGTGCTTTGTTGGTTCTTAGTATATACATGAGGTACATTATGCTATTATTTTTTTACATTTTATGTTTGTTCTTATTCTATCAAAAATAGTAAATACAGGCTCAAATAGTGTTAATTCTGAGATTTGCCAGAGAAAAACCAGTTCCACTATTTTGAGTCAAATTTGAAGCAAGCTTTAATTAAATACTGACCATGATGGACTTTGTCAGGACCACTCCCTAGAATGCCCAACTGAGTGGCCCTGAGACACATGTTGCAGAGCTATTTAAGGACAAACCCATATGACCACCATATTTTCTCATGTGGCTTGGCTGTTATTTTTCAAAAACTACAATTTTCAGCATTCCAGGAAGTTATTTCATCCTTGGCTGGGAGGGTCTTACTCTAACTCAAGAGATTTCAATTAAATGAAGAATGAAATCCTGTATATTTTATTATGAATGACAAGTTCCTGCATTTTCTGTCTACTGGTCATTACTCCAATTTCATTTATGATCTTTGCTCACTTCACTTTGGCCATATCTGTGTTCCTATATATTACACTCACCCTCCTACTTCCTACCCAGCATGAACTAATTAATTAATTTGGACAAGTCCAAATCTGAGCCCAGGTCAGTTTCTCTTACTTTCCATGACTTTTCCTCTACTCCAGTCCTGGCCATGTAGCAAAAGACATTTTTTTACCAGGTGCCTGGGTCCCTAAGTGTCTATAAATCAAATGTATGTTGGTCAGACAGTACCTTTGAGAAAGAAAATACAGAGAGCAAAGATGGAGGCCAGAGATCAGCAACAGTAAAAGTAGTTGTCAAATTTTGTAGATCAGGTTAATAGTTAGCTGCCAACTTTGTGGCCAGTTTCCGTTTTGTGATAACAGAATCCTGATTCCATTTCAGGGTTATAATATATCCTGCCTTGGAGAATAAAAAATTTGTATTTAACTCAAACCTTTTGAGACCAAATATTCTGATTCCTAACTATCTCAGTGTACGGTGAAGAAACCCAGGCTAGCTGGTCACCCAAATCAAACCATACAAAAAAAATCTGCTTCAGTCTTCTGAGAAAGTGTGCTTCTTAAATGAAAACCAGAGGCTTAATCCTTTTTTTCCCACTAATGTTGGGGATACTGTTAAAGTGTGTGATCTATTTTGATGAAGATGTCTTTATGAAATTAATCACCATGACCACTGAATAGACGCCAATTAAAAACCCAGCCCCAACAGATATATCTACAACAGTACTCCTACACCTAGGGCTCAAGGAACATCCAAAAGAGAAGGCCAAATGATTGTATGAGCTAGGGGACCAGAATACCTGTTGGGAGATCATGTCTTCTACACATGATAGGGAAGCTACCCCCATGACATTTCAATAGTATGGTTTCCTAAACAATGACGACAACAGCAACTGACATGGTAATATAGTAAGGAGAAATCTCACAGGCCCCATCCATAAATGAAGAACTACAGCCAATTAATGACTTCTTAGAAAGGGAGAATCAGTCTTCCCTAGGGGTGAACCCCCAAATTGGTTATTCAATGCCAAATGGTTAACCTTAAACTCTCACACACACACACACACACACACACACACACACACACACACACACACACACACAGGAGCAGCCATAAATGGACTCAGCAGGTTGTATTTATATATTTACCCATATGTATGTCTGTACATATATAGTAATAATAATTAAAAGTATATAGGCCACAAATTTGAGGGGGTAACACAGGAAGAGTTTGAGGGAGGAGGTGGAGGGGAGAGTGATGTAAGTACATATATATGAATACATAAAATGTTTAAAAGTTTTTAAAAAGAAAAAAATCAAAGAGGGGCAAAACAGGCTTAAATTTGTTTAAGACCCCTGCTTTTTTGTGCTACTTATATGAGGAAGTCATGTCTGGAGCCATGGCATCCATCTTCTAGTATGAGATTTTTGTTGTTACTTATGTAAAGACACAAATAGTTGGGGGCCAATGTCACATGATATGAGTAGGTACAACCAGTAATCTTCAACCGCACACATGCTATCTTTTTCTGTTGAACCAATGAAGAAAGAGCCCATAAAAAACATTATCAAACCCTCAAGCTTATTCAAAGATGACTTCAAGGTGTTGGAATGCATAGGAGAAAATTGAGGATCATAAAGAAAAAGGCAAGAAGATCTCAGCCTCCTCTAGGAAGAAAACCAGGGCAAAGGTAGCTGGCACCTCTTGAGATACATACCTGAAATTGTCTCAGGCTCATTGTGAACCTTTGACCCTTTCCTACTACCTTGGATCCCATGCACTGCCAGAGTGTTCACTGGGGGGCAGGGAGCAGGAAGACCTGATAGCCCATACCTCTAAAGAGGGGCATCTGTCCTCTCAACCTTGGCAGCATTGTGTTACACAGGCAGTGATTCTAAAATAATCATAGACATAGTTGTCTTTCATGACACCTGTGCTTCTCAGGTGGGTACAGAGGGATGGATCTGTATGAACAGAAAGGTGATATAGGCTTTATGGAGACTGACCAGTGAGGGCCCCAATCTGAACTCTCCATGTGTCCCATAGTCTCAGCCTTCAAACTGCATAAGATATTTTTCTTATTTACCATCTTCACGATGAAAGTAATTTAATCTCCGGCAATTTCCATCTTCCTTTCTCAACCAGATCCCACAATGCTTTTGCTCTAGCAGAAAAGAAAACACCTGAAATGAGAAGAAACAAAGGAAAACTGGATACAGGGCTTTTCTTAAACTCTAAGAGCTCTGATTTTTCCATTCTCTCTACCTCTGCCTCCCATGTCAGGCAGGGTACATCATCACTGGAGTTCCTGTGGCTATGTCTATGAGTGATGGAACATTCCAGTGACAGGATGGGAGGCCAAATACTCCTCTTTAGGGATATGGGATGCCAAAAGGTCTCCCACCAGTAAACACTCTTGCAATAGCTGGGATCTAAAGTAGCTGAGAAGGGTCATAGTTTCAGATAACATGCTATTGCCAGTGCCATGTGATAGGGTGGATCACTGCCCACCACTTATGCTGATCTAAATAAAACAGGCTAGTAACTCAGTCTTCCAAGAAGATCATAAAGCCATGACCTCAAACAGGAAACTTCCACCACTGTTCATGTAAACCATGATGGCTCAATACATGGCCTTTTTACTTTTTACACTCCAGTCCCAAATAATAAAGACAATCTTGTCATCTCTCTCTGTGCTTGTGTCTTCAGATCACCAGCCCTTGACTAGTGCCTTCTCTTATCTACAGGCTATTTCCCCTTTCTAAATGTTGTAGCTAGGGGAGGCCATGAGAAGATGCAGAGGAACTGAAATCAACATCTTGCCCTCAAGGCTATCGTACAGCTCTTCTGCAATCATTGAGTTGCACTATTATGGGCAACAGAGATACAGAGAAGTAAAACCTAAGAACACTCCTTAGATACCAACGCATATATGCTTTGCTTCTGCTCCAGAAAAACCTGCATCAATGGTCTATTCCTCACCTTGATCTTCACATACTCTTTTTAAAATATGGGTTTTAGCTTTATTCAGACATGCATGGTACAGCCAGTGGATCAGGCAAAGATGATCACTGAGCAGATAATTATGCTCACATGTAGAAGAGAAGGGAATACACCATACCAAGGTTGGGGAGGGGCTTATGAAGTCAGTTGGGAGGCAATAGGAATAAGAGAAAATATGGTTAAAAGCCTCAACTGTGGATTCCGTTTGAAGGAGTTCACAAGTGTATGAAGCTTTGGAGATGGAGGAGCTGGCTCAAGAATGAGGCACTTGCCTCACAAGCATGGTGGTCTGCACTCACATCTTCTACAGCCATGGAGATGCCCAACTGGCATGGTGGTCCACTTGTAACCAGAGCGGAGGAGGCAGAGAACCTGTACTCTAGCAGCTTGCTAGGTAGTTACACTAGTTGAGTTGAAAAAGTCCAGGTGCATGTGGGAGACACTGTCTCAGGATACAAGGTATAGAGTAATGAAGAAACATACCCGATTGCATTATCTGGCCTCTACACACAGGTGCAAATACATATGCTAGTACATACACATACCACACACATATATATGAGCAAAATAAAAATTTGAAAGATATATTAGGATTGGCTGGCTTGAATCATTTCATTGTGCTCTGGGAGAAAGGAGCTCTCCTAGTTGTCTATTTCCTGGCCCTGTGGTGACTAGAACAGTGGGAAAGAACAGTACTAAAAGTAAGTGCACAATAGAGGAGGTGGATGAGGTAATGGATTACCGATAAAACCCATGGAAGGTTAGATGTTCCACATGCCTAGGAACTAGTTACAAAGTAGCCCCTCCAGGATCAGCAATGACCCAATATTGAAGCATGGCTACTTTACATATTTTTTATGAGTCTTTAGATTTCTTGCTACTTTCTCTACTAAAGGAGCACAGTATTTAAATGACCTTTATGCTCCAAAAGGAAATTTCCTGTGTAATCCCACAGATCTTTTCTGGGCTATAATCCCATCACCGGTGCAAAATTCAAGTCCTAAAGTAGATGGAGGAAAGAACATGGAGCCTCAACCCTACACAAAGAACTACAGGCAACTAAGGAATGCTGGGAGTGGGAGAAATAGTCTTCCCCAGGGAAGAGCACACCAATTGGTTATCCATTACCAAATGGTCATTTCTGAAAACGTACATACAAGTTACATTGTACTGACTGAGCAGGATGTACTTATGTATTTAGGAATACTCTCTCTCTCTCTCTCTCTCTCTCTCTCTCTCTCTCTCTCTCTCTCTCTCTCTCTCCCCTCTCTCTCTCAGATATATAACTTCAATTAGTGGAAAAGAGGCCATGGATTCTAAAGAACATCAAGGGGTATGTGGAAGGGTTTGAAGAGAGGAAAGAAATGGGGGAAATTATATTGTAATTATAATATGTAATATTATGTAATTATAATATGTAATTATATTGTAACCTCAAATAGTAAAAGAAGCTTATTTATTTTGGAGACTTAAGTGAAAACACATGTCAAATGATATATTGCAAATTTTTTTTTACTATAAGTCTTATCACATTGCTTAACACAAAGCTAATTTTTATTTCTGATATTATTTACATCAAAACATACTACTATTCTCATCTTTGACCCTTCAGAGAAATGGCAGAAATACTCTACAGGGAAACAAGACCAATGTACCACATATACACTGCCAACTGCTTTATCTTTATTTGGAAGTACCATGACTAGAAGAGAATAAAGGGTGCATTTTTAGAAATCGATACATGATTTTGCAGTTGTTGGCAATGTATTACTCCTATAATAGGGTGATAAAGGTGGAACATTCAAGAAAGGAAGTGGGAAAAAAGTAAATATACATTTACTTTTCTTTAAGTATTACCCTAGTAGCCAATATGTTCCACATGAACTTCACATGTTCCCTTTTGCATTTGAACATGGGTCCTCTAGAAGAACAGTCAATGCTCATCATCTCTGAGCTATCCCTCCATCCCTGTTGTTATTATTTTTGTCTAAATGCTCCTAAATCAAATAGCAAGGTGAGATGAGGATTTGCCTTAGCCTGAAGTGATCTGGTCTATTGATAACTGGGCAGACCTCACAAACACAAGCAGAAAAATGACCCTATGGCACAGTGTTACATGGCTTCATTCATTTCCTAGGGTTTCTATGACATAGTACCTCAAACTTTAAACAACAGAAACTTATTATTAAGTATTATCTCAGCTATGGAGGCTAGAAATCCTCACCCCAGAGTCTGTGGGATCAGGCTTTCTCTGACAGTTCCTGCATCTTCCCCTGCCTTGCCCAGATTTCGGCACTGGCCACAAATTTTAGGCTCTGTTTGGCTTGTAGCTGCTTCATTTCAACTACAACCTGAGTACACGGCATGTCTGGGTCTCTTCTTATAAGGATATAGGGGAAAAACATCCCTACTGAGGTATGAATTCACCTTAACAGTATCTCCAAATACTGTTGCCATGAAAGGACACATTCACAGGTACCAAGGGTTAGGACTGCAATGTATGCTTTGGGGAGGCAAAATTCAGAAGATGGTAAACAAATGTTTATATTAAAGTCAGTTATGGTGCGGAGATGAGATCAAGTATTTACAGGACATGGCTTCTGCTTCCTCCTGTGTAACCTCCAATGCCTGGATTTAAATAGTGAGGAGCTGAGGCACTGGGTCAGCCTCTTCCATATCTAATCTCAGAGTACCTCCCTATCATGGGGTGGATGGGACAAGGGTTCTAGGCACTGGTACCGGGCCACTAAATTTTAGATTCCTTTAGTTAGCTCTGCATTCTTTTTTAATTTGGGGGAAGATTGATTGAGTTAAACTAGGGAAATGAAGCCAGAAAAGGGGTGAGGGTGATAGCTTAGATACATTAAAAAAAGAAAAAGGTTGTGTTGTCTCAAAGAAACAATGCATTCATAAGTTACTACCATGTAATTCTGGTGCAAATTTAAATGTCTGCATACTTCCTTATTTGTTCAAATATAAAACAAAAACCTTAGCACAGTCTCTCTCCTCAGTATACCAACAAAAACAAACTGAAGAAACTGAAAAATCCGTAGCTTTCCTTACATCTATCACGGGGCCATGGTCACTGGACGAACCAACACCCTGAAAACTGAGGAGGCTGGTGAATATGCCAGCCACTTATCCACAATGACTCATCCCAAATCTTCATAAAACCACAGACAGTACCACCCCTACACTTAGCATATTGTCCTATATGCACATACCCCTGATAGGGTTTAAACCAAAATGGCTACTAAATGGTTTAGGGGCAGGATGCTTATATAGCCTTGGTAACCTCGACAAAGGGATGATCTGCATCCTTGGTAGGGCAGAGCACAAGATTTCAGCCTGTGGCTCAAAGCACTGTACGTGTTACAACTCAAGAATTGTTTACTTCTGTTTTTTTTTCCCTGAACAATGTAGTTAACATTGAATAATTGAAGCTACAGGTGTTGGGGAAACTATAAAGAACATTAGCTCAGTGGTAGAGCACTTGCCTAGCAAGCACAAGGTCCTGGGTTCGGTCCTCAGCTCCAGGGGGGCAAAAAAAAGAATGTGGATCAGTTCACCTGAAGCAGAAACCAGTAACAGGTAGAAGACTGTAGGATGGGGTTGGGGAATTAGCTCAGTGGTAGAGAGTTTGCCTAACAAAGAAAACAACAACAACAACAACAACAACAAAAACAGAGCTGCCTTTTTGCCAGGTGGTGGTGGTGGTGGTGGCGGCAGCGGCGGCGGCGGCGGCAGCGGCGGCACACGCCTTTAATTCCAGCACTTTGGAGGCAGAGGCAGGCAGATCTCTGTGAGTTCAAGGCCAGCCTGGTCTACAAAGCGAGTTCCAGGAAAGGTGCAAAGCTACGCAGAGAAATCCTGTCTCGTAAAAAAACAAAACAACAACAAAAAGGCTGTAGGATATTTTTTATGAATTGTGAGAGGTTACAGACAGACTAAGTGGAGAGTTTAAAAACTCCTGGAGGCACATTTGCTTGGTTTTTACCTTCAGGACCCCCATCACATTTTCATGATAAATACAGAAGAAAAATCCTTTCATGTATGTCTCAGCCTGCTTGTATTACTTGAGGAGAAAGTCCAAGAAACACTTGTGAAGTACACAGACCTGTGGGGCAGGCTCACTCAGACAGTGAGGTCTGATTACAGCATCTGCCATGGGCTTACAGGCAGAAGGCCTTCCAAAGCCAGAGTCTATGTTAGGAGTTCCTAGGCAATCTAAAGACAAGAGGGTTTAGAACAGAGTGCAGAAACAAGGCAGGACAGGAGGGAAGAACTATGGAGACATGGAAGGGAAAGGAGCCGTGTCCCAGAGACTGGCTGAAAGCTCTCCAATAAGCTAAGAAGCTCAATTCCAAAATGGAGCAGTGGTCAATTCAGTGGGTAAAGGGGGTAAAGGTGCTTCTGCCAGGCCAGACGACCTGAGCTACATCCCCAGAAGTCACACGGTAGACGAAGAGGAATGAGTCCCACAAATTACCCTGACTTCCATACATGCACCATGAGTACTGTAAGTACACATGCTTTAAAAAAGAATTCCAACAATTAACATTGCATTAGGCCCTTCTCCACTCATAAACCAACAGGTTTCTAAGAATCTCCCCCTAAAGTCTGCTTACGCTAAGACACTATCCTAAACATTTATGGAACCTCTAGTGGCTCCTGGTCATACTCTATCAGATTGCAATCCCATCTAAGGCACTTCCGGAGCCACCCTATATATAATCCTGCCTAACAAAAATAAAGAGAAAAGTGGGGAGGAGGTTTCTTAGCAACTCTATTAGTCAGAATTCCCTAGAGGAACAAAACTAGTGTGTGTGTGTGTGTGTGTGTGTGTGTGTGTGTGTGTGTGTGTGTGTGTGTGTTTTGAGTGAGAATGGCCCTCATAGGCTCAAACATTTGCAAGCTTAGTCCCCGGTGTGGTGAACTGCTTAGAAGGATTAGTAGGTGTGGCCTTGTTAGAGGAGATATGTTGCTGGCGGTGGATTTTTGGGTTTCAAAAGCCTATGCCAGACCCAATCCTCCTACTGTGTGTGTGTGTGTGTGTGTGTGTGTGTGTGTGTGTGTCCCTCTCCCTCTTCCTCTCTGCCTGTAGATCAGGATGTATCTTACAACTATTGCTCTAGCACCATGCTCCATGCCTGTCTGCCCATTACCACACTCCCTTCCTGCCATGATGGTAATGGACTAACCCTCTGAAACTGTGAGCAGCCGCAAATTAATGCTTTCTCTTAAAAGAGTTGCCTTGGTCATGGTGTCTCTTCACAGCAATAGAACAGTGACTAAGACAAGTGTGTGTGTGTGTGTGTGTGTGTGTGTGTGTGTGTGTGTGTGTGTGTAAGAGAGAAAGGGAGGGAGAG